TGTGTGTGTGTGTGTGTGTGTGTGTGTGTGTGTGTGTGTGTGTGTGTTACGAAGGACTATTGCCTCTCTAAATGTCTTACCGTACGGCTCTTTTTTATTTGTTGTGCCATAAGGGATGACTGGGGTGTATTATATATACATAAAAAAGAATGCTTTGAGCGCATTAAAATTTGAAGTTCCATATATACGTAGGAGCAATCCCAGAATAATTTTGTCGAGTTCATTATACGTTAAAGAAAACATGTAAACTTAATATGCAATATTTTAAAAAAGGAATTCCACGTTACCTTTTAAGCCACTGAAGTTGATTATTCCCTGGGGGAAAATAATGCCTCTTAAACCTTTCCTCAACGTTTGAGGTTTACATAAATCTCATTCAAGATTCTTCCTGTCTTTTCAGTTCTCCCTCTAGCAATGTCGCCACCTCAATGACGACGCAGCAAGTGCTAGAATCTCTTATGGTGCGTGGAATAGGAATAGTACAGCTTAAGAATACCTTCCCCCCTTTTCCACCCCCAGAAATATTCCGCCTCACTGGACATAGGAGACGGCATTAGACTGAAAGAAACCATGGCAGACCTTTGTGCTTTTGTGCAACGGTTGCCAGCCCAACACTTTTATCACCTGGGGTGAATTTTCTGTGAAGACCAATGCCTTTATAGCTTATATAAAAGGTTCTCCGGTGTCTGAAAGAAAAGTAGGGAAGAAAAGAGTTTGCATGATAAAGACGACGCTGATTCGTGGTGTGTTTGTCTAGTTTGTTGTTCATATTCGGAGTTGTTTGTTTCGTTTCAGGTCAACATACAAGTGGAGATTGGAGAGCAGTTATTTCTTGAAATGAAATAACTGTGCACCTGTTGGGTAGATGAAGTTGTTAGGAGACCCAGAAGGACTGAACAGAACAAGTGCGCCAAACGAGTTTGAGAGCATTTAGAGTGGCTCAGAAGAAGGAGGGGGGGGCGAGAAAGAGAGAGAGAGAGAGAGAGAGAGAGAGAGAGAGAGAGAGAGAGAAAGAGAGAGGGAGAGGGAGAGAATGCTCACAGACGTTTACCAGATCCAGACCCCCTGTTGCACATGGAACAAATAAGAGAAAAAGTAGACAACGTTGTATTTTCCCAGAATATTCCTTCAAAGACAAAATAAAAACTGTCCAAACAACAAATACGGTGTTCTAACCACTTGGTTAGAAAAAAAACAACAACAAAAAACATAAATGTTTTACATCACCATCGACACAATTTAGAGGACACATTGCCCTTATCTTGTCTGCCATGCCAACTCTCAACTCAGGCTTTGTGGATTTTACGGAAAAAGCGGAGACACCTTACAAAATACATTTCCCACGAGAGAATCAACTCCCCATCATTTGCGTCAAAGGATAAGCCGTAACACCACGTACTTCGGAGGCTTAACCTCAGAACTACAGACGCCATCGGCGAGACAGATTGTGAAAGAAGCATACACGCATGTATCAGCCGCCCAAGGGAATAGTGAGGGGTGCAGAAGACGAGACCTGCATTTTCCAAAACTCACCTGGTTTAAATCAAAAACTTTACAGGGGACAAACTTTCACCTTTGGAGGGCTCTGGTGAAGGATTTAAGAAATTTATTTTCCTGCCTTTCCCCCCCTTTTTTTGGGCTG